AATATTTTCTTCTAATAAAAATTTAAGCATTTATATTTATTATTATTATTTTTATTATTATTATTGAGACAAGCATAAAAAATAAATGTTAATAAGTTAGCTTATTTCGATTAAATTACAAAATCCCACTACTAAGGATAATCGATCACACTATCTTTATTGAAGATCTTCAAACTCTTGACTGCGAATGTGCATAAAATTCAAGATATCAGACAAATGCCGTACTTTAAAGTTGTGAAAAATCTATAGAAAAAATTGTACAAAGGCATCAAGCTTATGTTGTTCAAAGATCAATAAAACTTTTAATCATTGCTAGAGCACTCGAATGATCGCGTACAAAACTTGTTAGAAATCGCAATTATTACATTAGTAATTTCATTGCTATGATTTATTTTTATTTTCGAACGATGATTACAGCAATGATAGACGAGTGACAAAAAAATTGTTTTATACAAGAGTTCGTCTAAAAATTTTTCAATTATCACAAAAATTGGATTTAAAGAGAATTTTGATTTTCATGGTTGTATGGAAAGATGTTGAACAAATTTTTTTCAATAATAATGTAGATTGGCACCGTGAATTGTTTACGCGTACAATAAAACGATTTACTTCAATTCATATTTTAAATAAATCTTTTTAACCAACGAGACACATATCATGTTGCGTAATTAGAAATCATTTTATTAAATAAATAAAAAATTTAAGCCCCTTTTACGTAGTATTATTTAACCCTATATAATACATATTTGGCATTGCTTATGCAGTAAATACAATAATTTTTTTCCATCAAAACACTTATTTTTAATTTCTTTTTCAAAGAAACTCTTTGGTTCAACTCGTAGTAAATGATTACAAAAGTTTTTCAAAGAAATTATACTCTGTAACCCCGTTAAAAATAAATGCTTTCATTTAAAAAAATATTGAATTGTTAAACTAAGAATCATTCGTAACTATATTCTGATAACATATCATTTTTTATAAATCTTTCGTTGTAAGCGGTATTAGTTTACAAATCTGTACACAATAAATTTTTGTCTTTTGAGCAAAACTTTGTATAAAAATCTCGACCGAATAGTTAAGTAAAATTTGCTTTGATTTACAAAAATTTTCCGTGCAAACATTACTCAACTATATTTTATTCCTAGTAAATTTTTCTGTTAAAAAATTAATTTGCTATTCTTAACACTAAACTTAGACTTAATTACTTTTGATTTTTATCCTTATTTGAAGATTGCACAGTTCTCGGCATCGACGCCGTACCATTCTCTAATTGAGGAGGTAGTATGCAATTTTGAGTAGACTTTTTAGAATTCACCAAGTGAGAAGTCTTCATTAATTCAGCGTCAGTCGGATCAATCGTTCTCAGAAAGCGCACCAAATCTCTAGACAATTCCCATTTCCTTTGTTCGAGGGCAGCATTTAAAATCAAAGTCGCATACTGTTTACTCACTGATGACGCCTCTAAATTCTGCAAGATTAAAAGATAACTTGACGCAGTCTCCAATTCCTGATGGTTCAAGCATGTTTCCAATAACTTTTTTGGGGGGCCCACTACCGAAAACAGATACGGCCACAGGGCAATTTCAGTTTTTCTGGCACATTGGACAACAGCTCTAGTCCAAAAACCAGGGAATTCTTGGATAAATTCCACCACTGATGGCAACTGAGCATCAGGCAGTGGTTCCTTGCTTGTTGCCTCTTCCTCCAATACTTCGTGTAAGAGCAATTCAAGCGAATGAGAAAAATAAGGCAATGTCGAGCACGATCTAGCGATTTCCCATGCGTGATAGCCCAGGTTTCGTTGAATCAACTGGCGCAGTATTTGGTGTAGATAAACCTGACTAGTGAACTCCAATATACTAAAGGGTAAAATAAATGGGGAACTGGTGTCGGATGTGTAGAGGACAGTGTCATTTTCAGCACCAAGCAGGATCGCATCTTCAAACAGAATGGTGAGCGGATAAATTTTCAAATAAAACGGGAGCATGATTCTTTTGCTCATGAATGTATGAACCTTATCTTGATGGCTTTTAGGAAACAAAGGCAGCCACACTCTCATGCCGTGAGAACCACAGAAAAGCCATATAGCTTCTGTCAAATGAGGCTTTTCTTTTTTGAATTCACAAGGTATCCATAAGTTTTCAACACATGACGCTAGGACAGTTGGTGCAGCAGGCGTGAAAGATGCATCGGCATTTTCGAGCCAATTATCCTTTTGCACCATTAGAAGTTTTCCTGAAACGTTCAACAAAAGTGTTTCTGGCTTCATATTGTCATCTGTTATTTCTGTTCGTATCAACGTCAAGCTAGCACTAACAACACAAGCTGGCAGGGGACAGAGACTCTTGATGTCAATTGTCTGAATCATTGTTACATCAAGCCAGCTGCCAACCTTTTCCTTTTTCTGGCTCATATTGTATATTCTTATCTGAGAATTAGCACAAAATACTAAGAGTAAATTCTTCAAAATATTCAATAATAAAACCTGAGATGGCATTTTAATGGACCTTACAAAATTATTATCTAAACGCACATCTCTAGGGTACAGTCTTATTTCATCTTCATTTTCAGGAATAGAGTAACTACTGGTTATCAAATAGCCACGATACCATAATAGACCTCCAGTAACAATAAAGTCTTTTTCTTGATACTCGTTGCCAAACAGTTTCCACTTTCTAGACAACATTGAGTAATGCGCCAATCCAGTCTTACCTGCTACAGCTATACTCTGCCCTTCCTCGTCAATAGCAGTGAATCTGATGGGCCAGTTGCAACTGGTGTATGCATTTGGAATGGGGACAACGAGCCACTGTTTTGTTCCAGACAGTACATGACAAAATCCATCAGCTCTATACTCATCAGAGTAATGTGCTTTCAAGTTGGTAGAAAAAATCTTATGCCCTAAATTAATATACAAACGATCTTCACCTTGCAGATATATGTGTGAATTGTGAGACATGCAAGGATTAACTGTAAGCGGACTCTTTACAAATTCCCATTGTACTATTGATCTTACTTGTTTGTGATACTTGTTGTGTGTCTGCTTTTCCTTATTCATCAAGTCAGAATCTTTCAGCATCCACAGCTGATAACCTTCTGCTGACCATTCCATGGATATCACGTGAAATGGGTTTGCTCTCATAGGATCTACATTTAGACCATAATCCCATTTCAGAGTGCACAACAAAAGTGCTCCAAAAGTACTCCATACTGAAACACCACCACTGGACCATGCTAGCGCAACGGCACAACTGTCCGGTGTCCACCTTAAAGATGAAACCGATCCAGGAATACCTGGGTAATCTTTGGTGGATAAAACAAGATTGTGCGACACTTCTAATGATCCTGTGGTCTCATCGACGCACAAAACAGCAGCCTGTGAATTTTTCCTACCAAACACAATCAACCTATACTTGTCATTGATAGCTGCACAGGTCGCATCATCGATATCCCGTGCCCATACACCTTGAACTTGATTCGGGTCAAACTTCAATGACTGTGCAGTCAAGAATGCAGCCTTGCCACAATTAAAAACAACAGCAAATCCTCCGATCAACGGTGAGTAGTCTATATCAGTGACATATGTGTTTTTAGCTGTCAGTGGTATAGCAACGGTAGATATCTGCTGGTCATTGGCAAACGGTATCCTCCTCAAGTCTAGGGTGTAATCCCTATTCTGCGTCCCATCCCACTTTTGTCTGACTATAAAACTAGACTTGGTTGACACCATTAGCTCATCACTGATACACACAAGTGAATTGATACCACCGTCGATCCATACGCTTTTATCAAATTTCAGAGCCATCAATGGTATGGCCTCCTTAATGAACAGTTCGGCGCTGTCCCTTTTGAGACTATTGACAGGTGAATCTTTGAGTTCGTAAGGACTCCTGGTATCGCTCGACTGATCCAACACTTTGTAAAACAACAGATAACTGTCGTTTGTCCCGATAACTATCATACTCGAGTCCAGTCTCCATTCCAGCATAGTGTTCTCTCCGTGCTTTTGAATGCATTCTTGGCTCCGCCTCAAGAACACTATGGGCACACATGGCTTGCAGCACCAGATACTGACCGCATCGGCGTACAAGACACCAAAGAGGCCACGCTCGCGGTTACACTTGACAGAGCAGATCTTATCCGGTTCCGAGACATTGAGCACTCGCGGCCAGCCGATCGGAAAGAACATACTGACGGCGATGATCTACCATTTGTCAACTGTCAGGTGGGCATTCGTCTTCCTCCACGGATTGATGAAATTATCCCCTGAAACGAAGTAGATATTTATTAAAAAATCGAGCAAAGTTATAACAAATAATCATGACATATAATACATACGGGCGTTGGAGAATAACCTTAAATCATTCGCGAATAATCATCATCTCTTCTGATATTGTAACGGCATACTACCTATACTCCTATTAGAAAATGATGTTGGGTCGTGAGGTTGACAACATGTTGACAAAAATTGTACGAGAGTAGAAAAAAACACAAAAGAAAGCATGCAGACGACAGGGAAAGCTCCGACTGCTCCGAAACCTGAATTGACCATGTATGTGTTCATATACTTATGTATGTGCACGTGCAAGTGGGATTGGAAAGTAGCACAGCCACATACACGACCTCATTTGATTAATTTGAACCTTGATCATGGTATGGGTAATTACGTTATATGTTTAAATGTTCATTAAATTACCGGTCATCAGTCCAATAAGTTGTCACTTGGAATTTAAAAAAACTTCAAGCGGTAGACTTTCGCTCATGATTTACTTACTTTGCGATAAAAAAATATAATTTTGCAAATAAATATATATAATAATGTGCACGAAATGCCACGCAAGCGACAAGGAGTACGAAACAAACGACCGAACGAACGCGTGGGAGGGTGAATGTACATATATTATATGTATAAATATTTCTATGTACACATGTGTGTGTGTGGTTAATGGCAATAATAATTTGGTTTATTAAATAAACTTTTACGATTTTGGTTTTTTTTCAACATCAATGTGTATTGTATAAGCTCGTATAATGTACATAGGAATTTTTTGCTATCTATTGACTGGATAAATTCAACAATAATTAAAATTACTCGCTTGTACATATAAAATATATAATTGCTCGTACTTTATACTCTTGTGCGGATAGATACTTTAGATTGTTAAATAAATAATTTACCATTTTCCTACTCGCTTCTTCAAACTATCTAATATTGACTGCAACAGTTAATTAACAGCATTATAATTTACACTTTTTTTTTTT